AGTTTATTCCTAGGTATCGTAATTTTTTTGGCGCAATGGTAAATGGGATTGTTTTTTCAGTTTCTCTTTCTGTGAGTTCATCATTGGTGTACAAGAATGCCGTCGATTTCTTGACGTTAATTTTGTATCCTGCTACTTTGCCAAATTCATTTATGAAGTCTAGTAGATTTTTGATGGAGTCTTTAGGGTTTTCTATGTATAATATCATGTTATCTGCAAATACTGACAGTTTAACTTCCTCCTTTCCGATTTGGATCCCTTTTATTTTTTCTTCATGTCTGATTGCTGTGGCTAAGACTTCCAGTACAATGTTAAATAAGAGTGGCGAAAGTGGACATCCCTGTCTTGTTCCTGTTCTTAATGGAAATGTTTTTAGTTTCTGTCCATTGAGTATGATGTTGGCTGTTGGTCTTTCATATATGGCCTTTATTATGTTGATATATGATCCCTCTATTCCTACATTGCTGAGCGTTTTTATCAGAAATGGATGCTGGATTTTGTCGAATGCTTTTTCAGCATCAATTGATATGACCATGTGGTTTTTATTCTTCATTTTGTTTATGTGGTGTATCACGTTTATTGATTTGCGAATATTGTACCAGCCTTGCATCCCTGGGATGAATCCCACTTCGTCATGGTGAATAATATTTTTGGTGTATTTCTGGATCCGATTAGCTAATATTTTGTTGAGGATTTTGGTGTCTATGTTCATCAGGGATATTGGCCTGTAGTTTTCTTTATTCGTAGTGTCTTTTTCTGGTTTTGGAATTAGAATTATGCTGGCCTCATAGAACGTGTTTGGAAGTCTTCCTTCTTCTTGAATTTTTTGAAATAGTTTGAGGAGAATGGGTGTTGGTTCTTTTTTGCATGTTCGGTAAAACTCCCCCATGAAGCCATCTGGGCCTGGGCTTTTGTTTGCTGGGAGAGTCTTGATTACATCTTTAATTTCTTTTGTTGTTATTGGTCTGTACAAGTTATCTATCTCTTCCCGGTTCAGTTTTGGGAGACTATGTGTTTATAGAAATTGGTCCATTTCGCTTAAATTGTCGAATTTGTTGCCATATAATAGTTGATAATATTTGTTAACAATCCTTTGTATTTCTGTGGTGTCGGTTATTGTTTCTTCTCTTTCATTTCTGATTTTGTGTATTTGCGTTCTCTCTTTTTGTTTCCTGGTGAGTATAGCTTAGGGTCCATCAATGTTGTTAATCTTTTTATAGAATCAGCTCTTTGTTTCATTGATCCTTTGAATTGTGTTTTTGGTCTCCATGTCATTTATTTCTGCTCTGATCTTTACTATTTCCTTCCTTCTACTTGCTCTGGGGTTTTCTTTCTGTTTGCTTTCTAGTTCTTTAAGTTGTGAGGTTAGATAGTCTATTATAAATTTTTCTTGTTTCTTGAGGTAGGCCTTTAGTGCTATGAACTTCCCTGTCAGAACTGGTTATGCTGCATCTCATCGATTTTGCATTGTTGTGTGTTCATTTTCATTGGTGTCCAGGCAGTTTTAATTTCTTCCTTGATCTCCACGGTAACCCATTCATTGTTCAATAGCATGCTATTTAGCCTCCATGTTTTTAAATGCCTTTGCTTGTTCTTCTTGCAATTGATTTCTAGTTGCATGCCGTTGTGATCGGAGAAGATGCTTGATATTATTTCAATCTTCTTGAACTTGTAGAGACTTAGTTTGTGCCCTAACATGTGGTCTATCTTTGATAATGTTCCATGTGCACCAGAGAAGAATATGAATTCTACAGTTTTGGTGTGTAATTTTCTGTAGATATCTATTAAATCCATTTGATCTAGCACTTCATTTAGAGTCTGTGTTTCTTTGTTAATATTTTGTCTAAAAGATCTATCCAGTGATGTCAGCGAGGTGTTGAAGTCCCCTTCTATGATTGTATTGCTGTCGATTTCTCCTTTAAAGTCCTCCACAAGGTTTTTAATATACGTTTTGCTCCTATATTGGGTGCATATATGTTTAGCAAGGTTATATCTTCCTGTTGGATAGATCCTTTCAATATTATGTAGTGGCCTTCTTTGTCTCTAGATATGGCCTTCATTTTGAAATCTACTTTATCAGATATGAGTATTGCTACTCCAGCTTTCTTTTTTGCTTTTTGTTTGCTTGGAAGATTTTTTTCCATCCCTTCATTTTCAACCTATGTGAGTCTTTTGTTGTAATGTGTGTCTCTTGTAAACAACATATATGTGAGTCATGCTTTCTTTTTGAGTCACCGACTCTGTCTTTTTATCGGCACATTCAAACCATTCACATTTAAGGTGACAATTGATATGTATTTATTTATTGCCATTTTTGTTTATTGTGGTTCTATTTTTTTTTCTATTTTTTCTTCTAATTACAGCAGTCCTTTTAGCATATCTGACAGTGCTGATTTGGAGTTAATATAGTCCCATAGCCTTTTTTATTTTTTATTTTTTTGTCTGCAAAGCTATTTATTTGACCTTCTATTTTGAATGATAGTCTTGCTGGATACCGTATTCTTTGATCCAGATCTGTGTTTTTTATGACCTTGATTACTTTATGCCACTTCCTTCTGGCTTGTAATGTTTCTGTTGGAAAGTCAGCTGAGAGCCTTGTGGGGTGTTCTTTGTAGGTAACCTGTTGCTTATCTCTTGTTCCCTTTAGGATTCTCTCTTTGTCATTAATTGTTGGCATTTCAATTACTATGTGTCTTGGTGTGGGCTTGTTTGAGTTCTTCTTACTTGGGGCTCTCTGTGCTTATTGAACTTGTATGCCTTTTTTATTCACCAAGTTAGGAAAATTTTCTATCACTATTTCTTCAAACATATTCTCTAACCCTTGTCCATTTTCTTCCTCTTTTGGGACTCCTATGATGTGAATGTTATTACGTTTTCAGTTGTCCTACAGTTCTCTTAAGCTATCTTCCCCCTTTTTAATTGTTTTTTACTTTGGATTTTCTGATTGATTATTTTCCACCCTGCCTTCTAATTCACTGATCCAGTCCTCAGCTTCCTCTGCTCTGCTGGTTAGTCCTTCCACCGTGTTCTTAATTTATGCTATGTCATTCTTCATTTCCACTTGATTGGTTTTCAATGTTTCTACATCTTTACTCATGGTGCTGATTTCCTTACTCATGCTGTTGTGCTTTCTCAAAATCATGGCTCTGAACTCTACTTCTGATAATTTGATGAACTGCATTTCATTTATCTCATCTTCAATAGAGTTCTCTTGTTCTTTCATTTGGGATTTGTTTCTTTGTTTCACTAATTTTGGCTATCTCAGTGGGTTTTGGAGCCTGCCAAATTTTCCCTGTGGGTGTTGGTGTTCTGCTGGTTTGTGGCTTCCTCTACTGGGTTTGAATGAGCCTGGGTGGCCCCGAGTTAAACACCAGTGTCAAGTCCTACTTTCCTGGTAGATTTGCAAGCCCACAAAAGGTTCAGTTATCCTCTAGCTTTTTCCTGGTGGCTAGTAGTCTCAGTTACTCAGTGCCTTGGAATGTAGCCCTAGTTCTCTGCATGAGAGGATTTCCAGAGGGTGGAATAGATGCTGGTTGTTAGTGAGCCTCAATTTTCATTTTTTTGCCTCACCTAGAAAAGGCTGAATCTCTGAGTGGGGGGGTTGCTGCTTTTCCCCACAGCTCTGGGAAGGAGCACACTGGCCACCATCATTTGTGTCCACAGGTCAGCCAAAACATTGAGTGCCCTCCAAATCCCAGGTGTCCCCACAGAGTTTTGCCTTGTCTGCTCTCCCTCTGCCATAGCCCCCAGGTGGTTGGCTGTGGCTATATTAGCTCTCTGTCCTGGCTCTCTGTGCTGTGGAGCAGACTTGGTCTGTATTCGCCAAGGGCTCTGCTCACAGCCAAGACTGCTGCTGCCTGTGGGCTCCCAGCCCATCACCCTGTTGTCCCTCCGCAGATCCTACCAGTGTCCCTGGTTATATGGTCCTGTCCTGCTGCTTTTCTGTTGTTGTTTTTTTCTGAGGATTTTTTCTTCATTTTAGTTGTAATTTAGTTGTAATTTCCATTTGGTCCTGGGAGATCATCTGTGTAGCTTCTATTCACTCTCCCTCCATTTTCACATTCTCTACACCTTTCTTGTGTGCAGCTGGGTCACATAGGCCTCTTTGGTGCCCCAGAACCCTGCAGGTCCTGCTGGTAACTGGATCTCACAGTCCCTTTGGGGACCCAACTCTATGCCTATCTTATGGGCTACTGGGTCACACAGGTCTCTCTGGTTTCTTCAGCTCCCCACAGGTCCCGCAGGTAACTAGAGATGATATTTTAAAGCTATGAGACCACCCTGGCCATTTTTGCTCAGTGGTTAGAGCATTGGCCTGCAGTCCAGAGACACCCAGGTTTGGTTCCCACTAAGGGCATGTATCTCGTTTGCAGTTTGTCCCTGGTCTTGGTTGGGTCGTGCAGGTGGCAGACACTTGATGTGTCCCTTTCACGTCAATGTTTCTCTCTCTTTCTCCCACTCTCTCTCCCTCCCACTTTATCTGAACAAAAATAGAAAAATGTCCTTGTCCTGGCTGGTTTGGCTCAGCAGTTGGAGCGTCAGCCTGCGGTCCACAGAGACCCGGGTTTGGTTCCCGCTAAGGGCATGTACCTTGGCTGCTGCAGTTTGTCCCCGGCCCTGGTTGGGTTGTGTGAGTGGCGGCCACTCGATGTGTCCCTTTCACATCAATGTTTCTCTCTCTTCCTTTCTCTCCTTCCTGCTCTATCTGAGTAAAAAATGGAAAAATGTCCTCGGGTGAGGATAAAAAAAAAAAAAAGAAAATGTCCTCAGGTGAGGATTAAAAAAAAAAAGCTATGAGACTGAACATATCACCTAGTGATTGACAATAGAGAGAAAATAAAATAAACTCAGGTCCAAGATACATGGCACTCTAATATCTAGAGAAAAAGCAGAGGAGGAGGGTCCTGCAAAAAGTCTGGGAACATTCAGCCAGTGTATTTCCCTGAGAGGTGGTAGTAGATACCCAGTCTCATAATAATAATCAATACTCTTTTCATTACCCATCCATGGAGGCTTGGGTTTGGCAATGTTGAAAAGGTGATCTGTGAACTCTACAAAGACAGTCTTTTTGTACATGACTGAGGTGCTGAATGGAAAAGATCTTGGCACTCCAGGAGAAAACCTGTGTGAAGAAAGGAAAAAGTCATGTGATAAGATAAATCATAAAACTGATACTCATACACTGTATTAGCAAAAGGTCCGTTGCCAAAGCAATAACTACAGCATCCTTTAGTTTCATCTTTAAAACAGACTATAACTTTTATTCAGATTTTGTCAGCATGTAACTAAAATTATACTCCCCTTCTTAGGGATACAGAAATAAGGAATACCACAGAGAAAATTACCTTCCAATGAAGACTATGTATAATTGACCTACAGGTGCCAGGAGCTGTAATTTAGAGTCAACCTTTCATTAATGCTCATCTTGTTTCCACTCAGATACTCCCAATTATCCATTTATTTGTGGATCAACTACTAAATCAGAAATGTTATAATTAATTATACAAATGTTCCCAAAATAGCCCAGCTGGTGTGTCTCACTGGTTGAGCATGAACCCATGAACCAAGAGGTTACCGGTTTGATTCCTGGGCAATGGGACCAATCCCTGGTGAAAGGCATGCAGGAGGTGGCCAATCAATGTTCTCTCTCATCAACATTTCTATCTCTCTCTCCTTTCCTCTCTCTCTAAAATCAATAAAGAAAAAATATTTTAAAAACAAACAAATGTTCCCAAAATGTTATACTATGCTTCAGTTATTAAAACTCTTTTAGGTGAAGGCTGGTTCCCAACCTTTTCCTTTCTCCCTACTTGACAAGTTAGGTAGTTGTTTCCTGGGGCTAAGTTTAGGTTGAGTAATCAAAAGGACCAATGCAAATCCTAGTGAAGAAGGCCCCAGGAGAATTGGCAGAAAATACAAATTGGTCGAAGGTGACTATTTCCGCTCACTGGTTTTCATGTGCTAATTATTTTTGCACCTGATGGAGTAGTTCTGTAGTGTTCTATGTGTCATAGAGAGACTCTCTTCCTGACTTATGCTTTTGGACATCTAAATCTTATCTTGCACCAATTGGTAATGTTTTAACAAGTCAAGGGAATGAATATAGGCAAAAGGCACAGACATTTGGGGAATGAATATTCATGTGGATAAAGCAAAGGCTCCTGCCCTGAAAGAAAGCTTTTATGTTCAGATCTTGGTCTCCAAAGCTGGATCAGTCAAAAAATATTGAGTACTAACTCCCATCATAGATGTATATTCATTCACTTATAAACTATATACTACATACCACTGTGTTATCACAAAACACATGCTAGAAATAAATTTTAAAAATAGAAATTTTTAAAGAACAGGCATATAGATCAATGGAACAGAACAGAGAACCTGGAGATTCACCCAAGACATTATGTTCAACTAATATTTGACAAAGGTAGAAAGAGCATACAATGGAGTACAGACAGTCTCTTTAATAAATGATGTTGGTAAGAATGGCCTGTCTTGGATCCTGCTTCAGATTTTCCTAAATTCTCTCAAATAAGCAGTATCTGGTCTCAGGGAACTCCATACCTCTTGTTAAGTGGCCCCTAACCTGGAACTAGAAGTAGCCAGCCTTGGTTCACAACTTGGCTTTGCCTAGGCACCTCCAAGCCCAGCACGAGAAGCAGCCATCTGCAGAACGCTTTGTAGCTTATGCCTGGTAGCCTTGGGTAGAACACAGGCAGTGGCTGACCTCGCCCCAGATCCAGCACACACAGTGGACAGCTTCAGAACACTGTGAAGCACCACCACCCAACCACCTCCACAAGTGACAAACTAAAGGAATAAACTCAGTGGGTACGAGAGCCTTGCGGAAGTAAGTCCTGCTCTGTGTGGTGGGACCCTGTGCAGCTGATCATCCAAGGTAGTAAGAGGTAGGTGGATAGTGGACACAGCCAGTCCTTGCAGCTGATCAGCCTGAAAAAATCCTCTCATTGAGGTACCAACAGAAATCAAGACTCAATTACAAAAAAAAGCATGTGAAGTCCACACAAGGGGTGCACTTTGAGGGCCCAGCTGGGAGACAGGGAGGCTGTGCCACTGGCTCCTACAGAACACCTACTACAATAGGCCACCCTACGAAGCCCAGGAGACATAGCAACTCTACCTAATACATAGAAACAAACACAGGGAGGCAGCCAAAATAAGAAGACAAAGAAACATGTCCCAAATGAAAGAACAGAACAGAACTCCAGGAAAAGAACTAAGTGAAATCGAGATACGCAATCTAACAAATGCAGAGTTTAAAACACTGCTTATAAGGATACTCAATGAACTTAATGAGAATTTCAATGAACTTAGTGAGGGCCTCAAGAGCATAAAAAAGGACCAGTCAGAAATGAAGGAAGCACTAACTGAAATAAAGAATAATTTACACAGATTCAATAGTGGAGTAGGTAAAGCCAAGAAACAAACCAATTCGGAATAAAAGAAAGCAAGAAACATCTAATCAGAAAAAGAAAAAAGAATTTTAAAAAATGAGGATAGTGTAAGGAGCCTGTGCACAACTTCAAGCATACCAACACTCACATCATGCTGGAAGGAGAAGAGAGAGAACAAGAAATTGAAAACTTATTTGAAAAAATAATCACAGCGAACTTCCCTAACTTAGTGAAGGAAACAGACATACAAGTCCAAGAAGCACAGAGAGTCCCAAACAAGATGAACCCCAAGAGGCCCACACCAACACACATCATCATCAAAATGCAAAAGGTTCAACACAGAGAATCTTAAAAGCAGCAAGAGAAAAGCAGTTACTTACCTACAAGGGAGTTCCCATGAGACTGTCAGCTGATTTCTCAAAAGAAGGGAGTGGAAAGAAATATTCAGAGTGATAAAAAGCAGCAACCTACAACCGAGATTACTCTATCCTGCAAAGCTGTCATTTAAAATCAATGGACATATAAAGACTTTCCCAGAAAAAAAAAAAAAAAGCCAAAGGACTTCATCAACATCAAACCAGTATTACATAAAATGTTGAAGGATCTTCTTGAAGAAAAAGAACATAAAAAATATGAACAAACAAAATGGCAATAAATATATATCTATCGGCAATTAAATCTACAAACAAAATGAACAAGCAGAACAGAAACAGACTCATAGATACAGAGGACATTTTGTTGGTTGCCAGATGGGAGAGAGGTTGGGGAAATAGGTGAAAGAAGTGAAGGGATTAAGAAGTACAAATTGATTAGACTGACAAACCTCAAAGGGGAGGGAAATGAGGAGCTTGGAAGAAATAAACCAAAAAACTTATATGCATATATGCACAACCAATGGACACAGACAACAGTGTGGGAAAAGGCAGGAGGGGTGCAGGAGCAGGGAAGAGAGGGTCAACAAGGGAAAAAGGAGGAACAACAGTAATACATTCAACAATAAAGATAAGTTTAATAAATAAATAAATAAATAAATGACGTTGGGAAAATTGAACATCTACGTGCAAAAAAAAAATGAAACTAGACGGCTAACTTACACCATACACAAGAATAAACTCAAAATGGATAAAATAATTAAATGTAACTCATGAATCCATAAAAATCTTAGTAAAAAATGTAGACAACAAAATTTTACACATGACATGCAGCAGAATTTTCACTGATACAACATCTAAAGCAAGAGAAACAAGGGAAAAAATAAATACATGAGACGACATCAAACTAAAAAGCTTCTGCACAGCAAAACAACCATCAAAATGGAAAGGCAACCCACTGTATGGGAGAACATCATTGCCAATGATATATGAGATAAGGGGTTAATTTCTAAAATATATAGTGTTCGTACAACTCAACAAAAGGAAGACAAAGAACCCAATTAAAAAATGGGCAGAGGAACTAAATAGACACCTCTCCAAACAGGACATTCAAATGGCTAAGAGACGTATGAAGAAATGCTCAACATCACTAATCATCAGAGAGATGCAAATTAAAACAACAATGAGGTATCACCTCACACCTGTCAGAATGGCCGCCATCAACAAATCATCAAACAACAAGTGTTGGTGAGGGTGTGGAGAAAAGGGGACTCTAATACACTGCTGGTGGGAGTACAGACTGGTACAGCCACTATAGAAAACAATATGGTATTTCCTCAAAAAATTAAAAATTGAACTTCCAATTGATCCAGTGATCCCACTTCTTGGAATATATACTAAGAAGCCTGAAACACCAATCAGGAGGAATATATGCACCTCTATGTTCATAGTAGCACTATTTACAATAGCTAAGATTTGGATACAGCCCAAGTGTCCATCAGTAGATAAAAAAAACTGTGGTATGTTTACACAATGGAATACTATGCAGCTGTAAGAGAGAAAGATCTCTTACCCTTTGAGATGACATAGAGGGACCTGGGGAGTATTATGTTAATAAGCCAGTCAGAGAAAGACGAGTACCACATGATCTCATTTATTTGTGGAATATAATGAACAAAATAAGCTGTCGCCCAAAAGAGATTGAGAATCATGGAAGTAGGGAACAGACTGACAAACCTTAGAGGAATGGGTGGTGGGAATGGATAGAAGGGATAAACCAAAGAACTTATATGCATATACGCATTATCAATCCACATGGGCACTAGGCTAGGGAAGGCAGGAGGTGGTGGGCTCAGGACAGAGGGGATCAATGGGAAAAAGGGGGACATCTTTAATACTTTCAACAATAAAAAAAGAAAAAAACAAAGCTGAAAGTCAGTAGAAGGGAGGAAATAATAAAGATCACAGCCGAAATAAACAAAATAGACTTAAAAAAAAATATGAAAGATCAATGAAATCAAGAAGTGGTTCTTTGAAAAGATAAACAAGATTGACAATCATTTAACCAGACTCATCAAAAATAACTAAATAAAAGATAGGAGGCACCAAATAAATAAAACCAGAAATGAAAGAGAATTGACAACTGACACCAAAGAAATATAAAGAATTGTAAGAAAATACTATGAACAACTATATGCCACCAAATTGAACAATCTGGACAAAATAGATAAATTTCTAGAAACATACAATCTTTCAAAACTGAATCAGGAGGAATCAGAGAATCTGAATAAATAGATTACTACTAGTAAAATTGAAGAAGCAATAAAAAAATTCCC